CTCTGCTATCTATCTATCTATCTATCTATCTATCTATCTATCTATCTATCTATCTATCTATCTATCTATCTATCTATCTATCTATCTTTCTCTACTTCTTTCCTCCTCTCCCTTCCCTTCTCTACTTCCCCTTCCTCTCCCCCACTCCTCCCCTCTTCTTCCCTTTCCTCCCCTCTCTCCTATTCTTACTTCCCCTCCATTTCTTCCTCTCCTTTCCCTTTCCCATTCCTTTCTCTTAGTCAGACAGTTGTGCAGGGAATCTGGCTTCCCTATTGACTTTGCTGGTCAGAAAGTCACACAAGCAAAACAACAACAGCAACAAGAAGAAAGTCCAGTTGCCTCCTGAAAAAAAAACACACCTTTGGGACAACCACGACTTGGATGACTGAGAATCTCCACAGATTTAGCTGTGCATTTGGGATGAACAGCCTTTGACAGGTGTATGAATGGATTTCCAACAAAATTGCAGACTGCAGGAACCATTTGCACCACTCAGGAGACCCTGAGGACAGAGATAAACCTCCAAGTGGCCTCAAGGACCCTCTAAAAGGATGCAAATGACCAGCTGTCTGCAAGCAGCATCAATCCTTCCATTCCTCACTGTCCAAGTCAGAGCTGAAGAAGCTTCTTGGATGAGAAGCGAAATGTCTTAAAAAAAAAACCCCAGAAAGTCCAGTTGCATTTGGCTTTCAAATTAAATACATTTTGGCTTTCAAATTAAAAACAACAACAACACCCTGAACCAGTCAAAAATGCTTTGACAGTCATTTACCGCTTCTAAATTCTTTCTCTCTCTCCCCCCCTCTTTCCCTCTTCGATGCCTTTTGGTGGAAAAATGAAATTTGAAACGGGAGATTCTTGGCCAAAGCTGTTCAGGGAATGAGATTTGTTATAGGATCTTCTCAGTCAGGCGTGTAATTTAGTGCAAGGTTCTGAATAGGGGGAGGGAGAGAGAAAAATGGTTTATTCATTTTTTCCATTCGTTCCTTTTCCAGAGGCTCTGAGCAGGTTCAAAAGTGCTAGTGCCACAAGATTCAACTACAGGCAGTCCTGTAGTGGGGTGGGGAGGGAGCTTGGAGGTCTTCTAGTCCAACCCCAAAGTTAGCCCAAAGTCACCCAGCCACTTTTGACGCCCAAGGCAGAACTATATATATATATATAGTGTCACAACCCCTGGTATGCCCCAATTATGGGAGGAAGCTAACNCTCCTTCCTATCTACTCTCCTTCTCTCCTTCCTTCCCTCCCTCTTTCCCTCCTTGCTTCCCTACCTTCTTCCCTTCCTCCTTCCTATCCCACTTTATTGGTATCCTGCTTTTGTTGGTTTCACAGATAACTCAAGGCACTGAACACATCCAACACACCTCCCTCCTCTTATTTTCCTCACAACGACGACCCTGTGAGATGGTTTCCGTTGGAAGAAACGTCCTTCTGGATTCCGTTCCGGTGATGGGTTGCTCCCAGTTAATACGGGTAGAAGTGCAAGACTGGCTGGGGGATTCTGGGAGTTGAAGTCCACAAGTCTTAAAGCCCCATTAAGGTTGAGTGCGTGTTGTGTTCTTTCAACTTGCTTTGTCTTTTAAATTTTTTAGTATTTTAAAACTGTTTTTAATGTAAGCCGCCCGGAGTCCTTCGGGATTGGGTGGCATACAAATTCATTAAATCTTGAAATCTTAAAGTTGCCAAGGTTGGAGACCCCTTAACAACTCCGGCGCAAAAGGTAGAAAAATGGGGCAAAATTCCCTTAACAAATATTTCACTAAACCAAGAAAACTGCTGGGCTCAATTGTGGCCATAAGTTGAGAGCTAACCCATAAAAACAAGTTACAGAAAACAAGTTATAACTGAACTTTAATTCATTTTTACACCAAAAAAAATTTTTTACACTCCTAAAAATTTTTTTATTCCCACCCACTTCAGAAAGTGGTGGTGGTGGGGAATCCGTCTGCCCTTTCTAACGTCCTTGGCCTAGAAGTCAAATATCTGCAGGATGAGTGTTATGTCTGTGGGAAAACTTTCCCAAAAATGCTCTCTCCCCCCCCCCGCCTTCCAGTAACTGCCAATGTAGATAAGAAACAGATCCTCTCTTTTCACTTTCATGCCTTTTTAATGGGATGTGCATCATCCTCGACTTCCGACCGTAACCAACCCCCCAAATTTCCCTTGTTAAACAAGGCAGCTTGTTAAGTGAGTTTTGCCCCCCTTTTACAACCTCTTGTCCAACAGCTGTTAAGCGAATCACTGTGGTTGTTGGTAGTCACACAGTTTTTTTAATTTTTATTTCTCATACATACACTCACAAATATATAATCTCCTAGCTATTATTAACAATATGTGTTATCTTTTAACATTTATAACAATTTTTCTCCTCTTAAATTTAGAAATATAATCGAGGTGCCTTTTCTGCCATCACTACGCCCATCTCATTTTATAACAACCGTACTTCTTCCTTCCTTCCTTCCTTCCTTCCCTCCCTTCTTCTCTCTCTCTCTCTCTCTCTCTGTCTCTATCTATCTATCTATCTATCTATCTATCTATCTATCTATCTATCTAT